CCAGGGATCTCAGAACAGAACATTCTGAGTTAAGAGGGAAGCACAAGGACCTTCTGTGATGCTCAGGGCGGTTCTGAGCATCGCTCAGTTCTCATTTTTAGCTCATTACAGCTTTGCCAGGTGCAAACATCCCGCAAAAGGAGGTTCCTTTCCCTTCAGAGCTCAGCTGCGATCCCAAGGGCAGGAAGGGCGTTTTGAGCATTCCCATTGGAGGCTCACGGCCTCCCTGACCCCTCCTTCCTGCAGGTATTACGCCGACATCGCCAAGCTGCCGGCCATCAGCGACCAGGACATGAACGCCTACCTCGCCGAGCAGTCGCGGCTGCACGCCRTGGAGTTCAACATGCTGAGCGCGCTCAACGAGATCTACTCCTACGTCAGCAAGTACAGCGAGGAGGTGGGTGTGGCCAGGGGGCTCCTGGGGCCTGGGGTGTCTCCTGGGTGATGGTGACACCTGGGTGATGGTGTCACCTGGGTGATGGTGTCCCCTGGGCCATGGTTTTCCCTAAGGCCATGGTGTTCTTTGGAATGACAGTGTCCTGTGGGCCATGGTGTCCCCTGGGTGATGGTGTCCCTGAGGTCATGCTGTCTGCTGGCCCATGATGTCCTCTGGCCTGTGGTGTCCCCTAGGTGATGGTGTTCCCTGGGTGATGGTGTTCTCTGGAATGATGGTGTCCTTTGGGTGATGGTTTCCCCTGGGCCATGGTGTCCCCTAGGCCATGGTATTTCCTGAGGCCATGGTGTTCTTTGGAATGACAGTGTCCTCTGGGCCATTGTGTCCCCTGGGTGACTCTGTCTCCTGACCCATGGTGTCCCATGGCCCGTGGTGTCCCCTGGGTGATGGTGTCCCTGAGGCCATGCTGTCTGCTGGCCCGTGGTGTCCCCTGGCCCATGGTATCCCCTGGGTGATGGTTTTCCCTGGCCCATGGTGTCCCCTGAGGCCATGGTGTCCCCTGGGTGATGGTGTCCCCTGGGTGATGGTTTCCCCTGGGTGATGGTATCCTCTGGGTGACTCTGTCTCCTGGCCCATGGTGTCCCCTGGACTCATGGTGTCCCCTGGGTGATGGTGTCCCTGAGGCCATGCTGTCTTCTGGGCCATGGTGTCTCCTGGCCCATGGTGTCCCCTGGCCCATGGTGTCCCCTGGGTGATGCTGCCCCCTAGCCCATGGTGTCCCCTGAGGCCATGGTGTCCCCTGGAGTGATGATGTCCCCTGGGTGATGGTTTCCCCTGGGCCATGGTGTTCTCTGGAATGATGGTGTCCTCTGGCCCATGGTGTCCCTGGGTGATGCTGTCCCCTGGCCCATGGTGTCCCCTGGGGCCAAAGGGCCCATGACACAATCATGGCAGAGCAGATGTCATTGCTGGGCTGAGCAGGGATCCTTCTCCCAGAGCTCCTTCCCCTCCCATCCCCAGCCATCGCCGCCACTGCCCCGCTGTTCTTGTCACGCACAGAGAGCTTTGGGTTTGGTACTCGTAGCCTCCCCCAGGAGGATCGAGAGCTAAAATATTGCAGGAGCACCTGGATTCCTCAGCCCTGGCACGCACCCAGCACAGTGTAAAATACTCACGACCCATATTTCACCCCAGTGAAGCTCCCCAGAACCCTCAGTGTCCTTCGGGAGCAGCATGGTCCCAAACCCCGCTGCAGTGACGCAGGCTCCTGCCTGCAAAGCCTCCCTGGCAGCCTGAGCTCCTTTAATGAATGCATCACTTGAAACCGAGATCTCGCCATCTGTTCCACCCCTTCATTTCCCTGCAAGAAGAGCCGATTTTGTAATTATGGCCGTGAAACGGACGGGTTTTGTCATTGAACTGCGTGTAGCCATTTGTGATACAACGCCACGGCTATTTTCCCATTAGGGTTGAAAAAATCTCATCACTTTTGTGCTAAATGAGACAAGAAATGCGGAGTCCAAGGCACCAGAGTAGGTTTTGCTGGGAGAGTATCACRGGGTCCAACAAACCAACGACAGCCGAGCGCTCGTGGCGTTGCTTTGCCTTTTATTGGAATTTCACACCTCCCAATTTTGAGTTGCTCACATCTCGCTGCCCACCCACCWCTCCCACCCCCTCTCTCACGCTGATTTCTCTCTCTGATTCCTTTTTCTCCCCTTTTTTTCCCATTTTCTCCCCAGCTCATCGGGGCTCTGGAGCAGGATGAGCAGGCTCGGAGGCAGCGCTTGGCGTACAAAGTAGAGCAACTCATCGGGGCCATGTCCTTCGAGAGCTGAAGAAAGGTCACGGGCAGCAAAGGGCAGAGGATCGCACGGACTCTCGGGAATTCGGAGGGAGAACAAGCAAGGGAGGCACTGGACACACCCCCAAAGGGTTGGGAGTGTTCAAAAACCACACAGGATCCGGTTTGGAAGGGCAGGAGGAGAAGAGGATGGAACATCTCGATCAAAGTCCAAGCAAGGGGGATCGTTTTGTCGAGCATACGTGAAAAGAAGGAGCCTGGAAAGTCTGGATGTCTCCACGACTGCTGCTTTGCATGAGAATTGTTTAATGTATATTAGAAAATAAAACTTTATTTAAAGGGTTTTTTTAAAAAAAAAAAAAAAAAAAAAAAAAAAAAAAAAAAAAAAAAAAAAAGAAGAGATAGAGCAAAAACCACAGAGGCCATAGAGATAATCCTGACAGGAAGGATCAGCTCTGAACCCTGTCCCCAAGAGCCTTCCTAGGACACGGCTCAGGCATTCTGAGAGAGGACTCTCCCGCCAACTGGAACATCTGGAAAACAGAAATGTCTTCGTTTTGGGATCTTACAACAAATATGAGCACAAGTTTGCACCACACCTTTTTACACAAGTGAAATAGCAGTTTCAGCCCGAAAACAGCCCAGTGGCTGAGTAACTTAGAGGCACGAGAAGGAACTTTACCTGAATTGCARAACCATCAGACCATCCATCTTGAAATCCAGCTTCATCCGTGTATTTATATAGTGTCGATATATATATATTTTTTTTAATCCCATTTACCATCAAATGAGGAAAGATCTGAATTTCATTGCTTTTTCCTTTTCTACCCCCATCCCACCTCACTGGCTGCTGGTGATCCAGCAGTGTCCAGCAGTGTCCAGAAATGTCCAACACAGCCTTGGGTGGTCCAGCAGTGTCCAGCGGTGCCCAGCAGTGTCCAACAGTGTCCAACAGTGTCCAGCATGGCCTTGGGTGATCCAGCAGTGTCCAGCAGTGTCCAGAAGTGCCCAGCAGTGTCCAGCACAGCTGTGGTGATCCAGCAGTGTCCAGCAGTGCCCAGCAGTGTCCAGCAGTGCCCAACATGGCCTTGGGTGATCCAGCAGTGTCCAGAAGTGCCCAGCAGTGTCCAGCACGGCCTTGGATGATCCAGCAGTGTCCAGCACTGTCCAGCACTGTCCAGCAGTGTCCAGCAGTGCCCAGCAGTGTCCAGCAGTGTCCAGCACGGCCTTGGATGATCCAGCAGTGCCCAGCAGTGCCCAGCAGTGCCCAGCAGTGCCCAGCAGTGCCCAGCACAGCCGTGGTGATCTGACAATGATCCATTCACTGTCCACTTCTGGTTCCTGCAGGCACCTCATGAGCCAAGGCAGAGCTGAGCTGACCCCTCCAGGGTTGGTTTTGGGGTCTCCAGCAGCCCCCTCTGATATTCTGCAGTAAAACCCCACAACCCCCGATGCTTATGGTGCCAATACTTGAAAAGCCTGGACGTTGGGAGAGCAGACTTTTGTTGTTTTCCTGCTGGATGTGTGGATTTCTCCAGCACAGGCTCCATTCTGGTCTCTCCGCCTCGCCCAGGGCCAGGAYTTGCATTTCCACTGGGAAAGGGAGAGAAATCTCAACTCCAGGCAAGGACAAACCTAAACCAGCACCCCCAGGCCAGCCAGCTCTGCTGTTGTGTCTCCCTGTCGGCGTTTTCTCGTTGTTCTCCTCARTTCCTTGCACACGTTCCCGTGGCCGGGGACAGGCAAACGTCTGTGAGTGTTATTCCTTTCAAAGACACCAAAGCTTGTGTGTGTCCCTTTGTGGAGTGCCAGGAGGGGAAGGAATGCTGTAAATATTTCTCTCTGTAGTAAATACTGATGCGTGTGCAGGCTGCAGTGGGGAGGGCAGGGACAGTCTGATGGAAATACGAGTTTTGTCTTTGGCAGCAAAATAATTCCTGGTGCCTGCCCGGGCTGTGTCACACCAGACTGGGACCTCRGTTTGCAGCCAGCGTGTGTTGAGGGGAAATCCATTTTCATATCCATCCCTCTCCTCCATCATTCCTGCCTGGAGGAGCCCAGMAGGGCTCCCAGAGAGCTGCTGGCCCTGGTGTCCTGCAGCCCAGCACCAGGGGAGGGGAGAAGCACGTAGAGAAATACTCAGGAAACTTGGTTTAATTACCATTCAGTAAAAGCCATGCCAAGCCCACTTTCTTTTTGGTGATCCACTTGTGTGAGTCTCTCTGAAAAGCGGAAAATACTGATGATAATAATCAACCTTGTGCAATAAGTTCTTGACATTTACAGCGCCCTGAGCAGTGGATTTACTGAGACAGGGAAGGAGTGGCAGAAACAGAGATTGAGGCAGAGCAGGGTTCATCCTGCCCGTTATCCAAGAGTTCCCTTCCCAAGGATCCTGCCCCTGCACACTGAAYCTCATTTCAAAGGCAGAAAATGTGCAAAAATCCTGCTAAAAGTTGGGCATTGAAGAGCCCAGCAGCAGGAATTCACTGGAGCAGTCCCCAGCCTGGCCAGGMTGGTACCACAGGAGATGGCAGAGGGTCAGGTTGGAAACCCTGCAGGTTTTTGSTGATTCTGTTCGTGCTGCTCACACATCTTAGGGTGAGGGATTTCCAGATCTGTTCCAGCTGTCATTATTGGTTTGGATTCACCAAATTCTCATGGTACTCTGAAACCCAACGAGAGCACTCCAAAAAAAAAGCTCCCAAACAGTTTCCAAACACTTCTGAATATYAGTCTGGAGAATTCTCTCTGCAGGATTCACAAAATATCAGTCCAGCCCAAAGCCTGGGCCTGCTGCTGTGTGTGCCCAACCCAACAGCCCTCGTGGTGCTCTTCTCTGCATCTCCTCAAGATGCTTTTGTGCAGCCCTTTTAATCCTGGTTTTCCTCCTCCCAAGCCAAGGTTTTGTCATTCCCTGCTCCTCTGTATTTTCTCAGCAGAAGTGGAGGTCCCCAGGCACCCCTGGATTTTCTGGGAGAGCATCAAGGAGAGAACAACTGAGTTGATCTTCTGTGCTGAGGGAAGATTGGAGCARAGAGAAAAGAGGGAAAGCAGCAGCAGGATCTCTTTGCAAACCAATAAACCCTTGCACTTCTGACTGAATTCTGAAGGAAGCAGCAAAAAAACACCTCTAAAAAGACTCCTCTTCCATCACCTGGAAAAGCTTTAGGAGGATGGCAGAGGGAGCAGCACCATCCTGGCTGGAAGAGTGGCCTAGGAATACATTGCCAAGTATCTTCTCATGGTGCTTGACATTAATTATGGATCTTTACAGGCAATTACATGGAACGAAGCAACATATCCCCCTGGGGCAAAGCGCCGGCAATCCCTGCCCTGTTTGCATCCGACATTCCCACTCCTCCTTTGGGGGAAGAGCAATCCTCAGATCCCAAAGTGGTGTTCTCCTCACGCTCACAGCAAAACCAGACTTGAGGTTTGGTCAGGAGGGGGCACTTGCCTTAGATGAGACAATTTCACATCCCTCTGGTTGCCCCCTTCCCCCTGCAAAGTGCATTGGGAGCCTCCACTTCTCTCCTTTTCAGGTATTCCAACATCAAAGTGGGAGAACGTCATTTTTTTTTTTTTYCCGGGATCTCTCTGCCTGGTGTCACCGCTTGAATAATTCCGTTTAATCTCCCGCTCGTGAGCTATCAAAGCACCCACCCAGAGGGGGAGAGAGGTGCTAATCAAACGCTTCTCCACCTTGAAAGCCTTTCTGGAAACCCCACACGCCAGAGTGGAGCTCACAAGTGATGCTGTCCCCGTGGAGCTGCGGCCACCAAAACTCACAGGAGGGGACATCCCTGCTTTGCCATAAAGGATGGATTTAAAGGGAGGCAGAAGGGTCCAGCATGGCCAAAGTGCTGGAAACCCTATGAAAATACGGCGTGGGTATCCTGGAAACCCTGAATATCCATCATGGATTTATTCCTGGAAACCCTGTGAAATCCAGTGTGGGAAACCCTGGTAACCCTGGATATCCATCATGGATATATCCCTGGAAACCCTGTGAAATCCAGTGTGGGTATCCTGGAAACCCTATGAAAATACAGCGTGGGTATCCTGGAAATCCTGTGAGATCCATCATGGGTACACCCCTGGAAACCCTGTGAAATCCATCATGGATATATCCCTGGAAACCCTCTGAATTCCAGTATGGGTATCCCTGGGAACCCTGTGAATTTCAGCATGGATATTGCTGGAAACCCTGTGAAAACCATCATGGGAATCCCTGGAAACCCTGTGAAATCCATCATGGATTTATCTCTGGAAACCCTGTGAAATCCATCATGGATACACTCCTGCAAACCCTGTGAGATCCACCATGGGTACACCCCTGGAAACCCTGTGAGATCCATCATGGATTTATTCCTGGAAACCCAGTAAAATCCAGCGTGGGTATCCCTGGAAACCCTGGATATCCATCATGAATATACCCCTGGAAACCCTGCGAAATCCAGTGTGGGTATCCTGGAAACCCTGTGAGATCCACCATGGGTACACCCCTGGAAACCCTGTGAGATCCATCATGGATTTATCCCTGGAAACCTGGTGAAATCCAGTGTGGGTATCCTGGAAACCCTGTCAAATCCAGCGTGGGAAACCCTGTTAACCCTGGATATCCATCATGGATATATCCCTGGAAACCCTGTGAAATCCAGTATGGCTGTCCCTGGGAACCCTGTGAATTCCAGCATGGATATCGCTGGAAACCCTGTGAAATCCATCATGGACTTATTTCTGGAAACTCTATGAAATCCATCATGGATACATCCCTGGAAATCCTGTGAAATCCAGCGTGGGTATCCCTGGAAACCCTGGATATCCATTATGGATCTATCCCTGGAAATCCTGTGAATTCCAGCATGGGAATCCCTGGGAACCCTGGATCTCCAGTCCCCAGCTGAGTGAGGACCCACAATGGGGACCAGCGCTGAGAAACGAGCTGCTGCCAGGGTCTGATGCATCCCAGCAGCATTCCAGGGTTCTGACTGCATCCCAGCAGCATTCCAGGGGTCTGCCTGCATCCCAGCAGCATTCCAGGGGTCTGCCTGCATCCCAGCAGCATTCCAGGGGTCTGCCTGCATCCCAGCAGCATTCCAGGGTTCTGCCTGCATCCCAGCAGCATTCCAGGGGTGCAGTTTGAGGTTTTTTCCATGCAGGGTGGCCGTGGGGACAGCGGTGCCTCCCCGCAGGGCCGGGGGCTGTGACGCGCTGGGGACACGGTGCCAACAGAGACCTTCATCACAGCAGTGCCTTCCACACACTGTCTTAAACCCTGGTGGCCCATCCCCACGCCAGTGTCCTCTCCTACCTTCCACTGGGCTCCACAAAAATGTCACAACGTAGGGAACGGGCTGGGTGGGCACTGGAGGGTGAAGGCAGGAGGGTTTAAGGCTCTGGGGCTCATCCCTGCACGCTGCCGGCTCCAGGCCCCTGCTGGGAGCTTTGTGGGTCTCATTCTGTGTGGAAAATGGGTCAGARCACTCCCCTGCCCCAGTGGGCACAGCCCCCAAACCAGATCTCGTTGCCAGAAGTCCCAAAGAGCCAGCAGGGATGAGAGGGGCCAGGTTGGCACAGGGCACAGCAGCTCCAGGCACGGTCCCTGTGCTGCTCCTGCACCTCCAGCTCATCCCTGGCAGCAGCACAGCATCACTGTGCCCTGGAGAGAGGAGAAAACATCCYGAGGAGGGTAAATAACTGACAGCAAAGATGCATTAAAATGCCACAGAGCTTCAGCCATCC